ATAACTTTTATAATGTACGTGTTCCCATTAGAGAAAGTGGGTTGGCTAGAGCTATATAGTGTCATTTTCACACTCTTCTAGATTATGAGTGGGTGAAGTCGAGAAAAGAAAAGTTCTCTCTCCCTCTCTCCTTCATTTTGTGCAACTTTTATTTTGTTTGTCTTATACTAGCATATTACTAGGAAATTAAGAATTAATCAAGTTTATTATCGTCATCATACCATCATCAATACGCCCATCATCACCATTTCATCAATGGTTGACCCATCCACACACATAGAAGAAGATATGGGTAAGGCCCAATTTAATATAACACACAAATTACTATAATTTAGCTAGGAATTTAGATTACTTGCAATTTGATTATCCACATTCATATATGATCAAAATATCTATCTTTTAAGAAATCGTCTTTTTAAATAGTTTGAAAGCGTGTAAGACGGACTACTGTATAGAGTTTAAAATTTATTATATTTAAATTGTCATTAAAAAGAGTCTTTAAAATATTTCTAAAAAAATCATATTAAATAGGACTTATTTTTATGTTACCATGATTAAATTTGTTGGTGGACAAGATTAAAGATGAAGATGAAGATGGAAAAAGAGAGAGAAGAGAGAGAAAAACTATTATAACAAACTCTGATTGATAAACTCAATTGATGCATTATGAAAAACTAGTTGTAAAGTTGTTTAAATAAACAAACTTCAAATGTCACGTAGAACTAACTATGCTAATAAAATTCAGAAGTTGAGCTAAGGTTCTGAGCATGCAACTTCTCGGGTACGGTGAGCAAAGTTATGAAACATGTAGCTTCTGCGCAACACAGCTTCTCAAACAACAACTTCTGAACATGAATTATTTCTAACACTCTCCCTTAATTCATATTCAACCAATTAAAGTCTATATCACTAATTTCATTCCTCAGATGGAAAAAATGTTCAGTCTTGACAACTTTAATTAGCAAATCTGCAAGTTGCTTCTAAGTGCTCCAATGCACAATTCCTAAAACTCTATTATGAACTTGATTCCTCAAAAAATGATATTTCATGTCAATGTGCTTGCTCCTTCCATGAACATCTGGATTCTTAGCAAGGCTTATAGTTGATTGGGTATCAATCATCAATCTCGCATGCTTGTTCACCTTAATCTTCAGATCATGCAATAAGTTCATAAGTCAAACTGTTTGACATGCAGACAAAGCACCAGTAATATACTCAGCTTCATAGGCTGACAATGCAACCACAAGTTGCTTCTTGGAGCACCAAGAAATAGGACCTTCTAGATACTTGAAAAAATATCTAGAAGTACTTCTTCTGACAACTTTGTCTCCACACTAATCAAAGTCTGAATAGCATATCAGTTCTGAGTCAGATTTAACACTAGAAGGGAACAATGTTTTATACCTCAAAGTCTCTTTAATGTACCTTAGTATCTTAACATCAGTTTAGTAATGTAATCACATTGGCTTGTTCATAAACCTACTCACCATTTCAACTGCATAACAAATGTCAGGTCTAGTGTTACAAAGATATCTTAATGAGCCAACTAAATTTTTAAAAATTATAGCATCTACATCATCATTCTTAGCATCAGAATCCAGCTTGTGATTCGTCTCGGCATGTGTGATTGCATTCTTGCAATTTGTTAGCTCAAATCACTTTAGAAGCTCAAGTTCAGACTTCAGTTGATGTAAAAAGATACTCTTTTCAGAATACAAAATCTCCATCCCTAGAAAATATATCATATTTCTCAGATCAATCATCTCAAACTTATTTATCAACACCTTGTTGAACTTGACTATCTCATCTGAACAACTCCTTGTTAGTAATATATCATCAACATATAGACACACCAGAATCATATTACTTTCAGAGGTATGTTGAACATAAACCCCATATTCCATCTCACATTTTCTGAATCCTCGAAGCTTGAAAAATGAATCAATTTTTAGATTTCAAGCTCTAGGAGCTTGTTTCAGTCCATACAAGGCTTTATGAAACTTATACACCATCCATTTCAGATTCTTTTTCACAAATCCAAGAGATTGTGACACATAAACTTCCTATTGTAAAGGAACATTCAAAAATGCAAATTTCACATCTAAATGCATCAAAGTCCAATTCCTATTAGTAGATATAGTAATCACCAATCTTATTGTTTCACGTGTGTCGCTCCTAGGATTTTCATCCATATCACGAAGGGAAGTCGGTGGAACAAAAGAGTCGCCATAAATGTTATTTAACCCACAAGATGGAAAGGAAACATTGCGTAAACTCGAGAGAAGGATAAAATATGGTCTAACGACCAAGGGAAATGGGTAAGTGAGTCGGTTACACGAAGGGAAGGTATTAGCATCCCACGTGCCTGTAGTACTCTAAAGTATCGGCTTATGATTGTTATTCTAAGGGTGTAAAGGTAAAAGTCTAATACTATGAACAAATCATGCGAAAAGGAAAACAATGTAGGGAAAAGAAAGAATTGTACCCGTGCAGGCCCCACCCCGCTAGCTACGTACCCTTTTTGAGGGATTGGAGAAACCGTAGTTCGGATCAAATATTTTGGTTTGTTTGTATTTTTTAGTTAAAAAGACAAAACCTCAACAATGATGAAAAAACCAACAACGATGAAAAAACATCACAATGATAGTAAAACATCGACAATGATGATAAGATATCAACAACGACGATAAGACATCAACAACGATGACAAAAAACCATTACAATGATAAAACATCACAACAATGATAATACATCAACATCGATGATAACACATCAACAACAATGACAAAACATCACAATGATAATAACATATCAAGTATAGATGACAAAACACTAGATAATATGGCAAAACTCAATAGTGATAGCAAAATATCAAGTAAGATGACAAAACATCAGAACATAGATGGAAAAACATCACACCTAACAATGATATTGAAAATCAAATTAGGATAACAAGCGTATAATCGATGACGAAACATCGGTGCAAAGATGATAAAACATTAATTTAGATGATAAAACATCAAAACATAGATGGCAAAACATCACATCTAACAATGATATTGAAAATCAAAGTAGGATAACAAACATATAATCGATGACGAAACATCGGTACAAAGATAGAAAAATATCATGGAAAGGATGTCTAAACATCAATTTAACAAGATTTAAAACAAAGCCAAAAGGCGCACAAACAATTAAGATGGGTTTTTATTTTTTATCTTGAAGAAGGATTTAAGTTCATTAGAGATGTTTTATGATTTTTCAAGAAAAAGAAAGTTTTTGTTTTAAGATGCAATATGCAAAGAAAAGAAAACAACTAAGGGAGACTATCCTAATCCCTAGCCCTAATGTAATCATGAAATGATGACCTTACGTCAAGGAAGAAAGGGAAATATCTACCTAAGTGAACATATATGGATAGATATACTAATTTCTAGCTCAAGGACTAATCCTACACGAGTAATCCTAAGGGAGCATGGAATATCAAACAAGTGCTTTGGAAAAAGCGCATAATCGGGATATACTTACTCAGGAGATGAGGGTATGAAGAGAAAATGCTTAAGCTAAAAGGAACGGATCACCCGAAGCAAACAAGCGGGAGACTGAGATGAAATAAAAAAGAAAAACATTACTTTAGCTAAGGGGAGCGGATCACCCGAAGCAAACAAGCGGGTAGCAAAGTGTCAGCAATGGCTATTGCGTACTCCTAACAAATGGTAGGGGTTGAGACCAAACTCTTTTCCACATGGCCGACTCGATACACATGATCTGCACAAATCCAAAGCATCGACGTACAACATAATCCCAGGATGACACGGACTAGAATGTGCGGGGTTGATTACAGACCCTTTTCGCGTGCCTCCTTTTGAGGACTTATTGGGGTGGGAGAATAGATGTGAGCACAAATGTAAACACACATGCAGAATACCTACTTCAAAGGTAGGATTTTAAACAAACACAAATAACATACAGAAAGCGGTGCCTGCTACAAGACTTTAAACAGCGACAACGCACACTCTTTATTTCCTACTTCTCATGATATCTAGAAAGCAGTAAAATGCTGAAATGAGATAAACCAGAGAAAATACCAAACGAACAAAAGTTTGTAGCATAGCAAGAAAAGCAGAGAAACCTGGAAAACTTCGAGTAAGCTTCACCAAGCAAAATAGAAGAGTCAGAAATCAAATGCTCGGAATAAGCGTCGAAGCATTATCGATGTGAAAATAAATCAAAATCAAAATCAAAATCTCAAGTCTATTTGCATATCACACAATAAACTTGCATAAGACTCAGATCTCAACAAGAAAAGGTGAATTACAAATCTTAAGTAATCGGATAATCCTGATTTAATTCCTAAAAATATCTTCTAAAATTTAGCATTTTTTATTAATGTTTTTGTTACATCAACATTTTTTATTACCAAAATTGTTATCTAACAATCATGAAAAGAAAAAGCTAAAGAAAAAAACTAAAGGGATTCTACATTGGGGGTGTGAGTCTGGAAACAGGTGGTGTTGTAGCAATAGAGCTTAGGCGCTAGGCCCATCATACAAAGTCCATTAGGAAGTTTTTTTTATTAGCCAAGAAGCCGCATTAAACTCCCCTTGGGCCAGGAAGAAGGGTGGTCCAGCCAGCCCAAGAACGCATCAGTTATCCCATTCTCAATTTCCTTAATCAGCATCACATTTTATTTATTATCAACTAAACATAAAGGATTAAAGAATATAATAAACAAAAGGATACGACATCATTTGGTAAGAGGCTAGAGTAAAGGGAAATTGACGGTATAACTTCTTCCCAAGGTCACTATGTTCCTCTTCAACAAGAACTCACGAACAACACTGTTAATCAACTTCTTCAGCGAACACACCAGAACACTGACTCCACCGTGACAACGCACAAACTTCTTGATCTTTCAACCGATTCATTTCTCTGATCTCTTCATCGTCTTCTTTGATGGTGAACTAAACCTTCGAAGAAATTTTTCCACCTCCGTGCCAATGCTTTCTCTCGTCTCCGCCTTACTTTCTTCATTTAGATTTGACTTCGTTCGTAGATCACTCTTCCATCTCCGATCTTCTGGTTCATACTCAACCTTTCTTGACCCGACGGAACTCAAACGAATCTGGAGGAGCTCCGAGGGCTTTTCGACGGTGCCGGTAATGAGATGCTCAAGTAAGCACTTTTAATAGCCATTACACTTCTTCTTCTTCTACATCTTTTCTATTTTATTGCACGTGTATTCATGTGACACAAAGATTGAAACAGGGTGTGCATTTGAAGCTTGTTTGATGAAGATGTAAGGGTGCTAGAGCGTAATGAAGTAGATGATGAACCATATGAAGATTATAGTGAATTGAAGGTTCTGAAGAGATGAAGGTAGAAGGATTGAAGGTGTTGCAGAGAGAGAGAAAGCAGAATCAAGGTTGAAGATAAAGATGAGGATATAAGGTGTTGCAGAGAGAGAGAGAGAGAGAGAGAGAGAAAGCAGAATCAAGGTTGAAGATAAAGATGAGGGTTGAAGGTGTTGCAGAAAGAGAGAGAGAGAAATCAGAATCAAGGTTAAAGATGAATATCATTGAGAGAATTTGTTAGAGATTTTTGGTTGTGATTCTTTTGCTGATTGAAGAATGGTGAAGATGAAGTAGAGAAAGTTGAGAGGATTTGATGGTGATTCTTCAACGATTGTCAAGAATGAAGATTGATGAAGGTAAATTTGTTTATATACAATCTGTTAGCTTGCTGAAATTTTGTTAGAGGTATATGAATCAAGGCCCTTGAATTAAGAATTGGTTACCAAAGATGGAGAGCTGAGATTTAAACAGATGAGTGAAACTTGCTTGTGAAGTTTTGCTGAGCTACAATGAGTCACAGTTTTCCCCTCCTTTGCTTATTTTCCTTTTGTCTTTATTCAAAATGATGAGCTGGAAATTAGAGTGAACAATTCTGTTATGATATTTTACGGTTTACACCTCTTCCTCTGATTTTCTTCTATTGTCTTTTTCTGATTTTAACTTCTGAATTGGTTTATGAACTGATATATCTTGGATGAGACACATTGGATTTACGTAGTTAAATTGCACTAGTTGTGTACCACTGTGTATGCCTAATTAGAATGATATTTAACTGCACTTGAACAGGGTTTATGTATTGCTGCAAATTGGTTTCGAATTGTTGTTGCACAAAACTGTTTAGTGAAGTAATTTCTGAGTTGACTTTCATATATGGTGCAAGGCTGAACTGGTTTTGTTTGCAGGTGCTTTAGACATAATCAAGGCTTAGGGTTAATAGCATCCCATTAAACCTAACTTAAAGGTACAACCGCTTGTGCATTGTTATGGTTGGTCTTTGGTAGTTGGAAATATAAAAGCTTAGATATGAAGAAGCTTGGAAATGATTGTAAGTTGGAAAGATTGAAGGCAAAACAGAGTGTATTGAAGTCAAGGTGGGAGCTTGAAAGTTGTACTAGGAAATAGATTTCAGGGTCATGGTTTATTGTAATTTTTTTAGTGTGATGTAATATCCTTGGATTTATTAATGGCTTGTAATTTACTTGAAATAGTATTGAATGAACATGCAATTTTGTAACAGACTTGTACACTCTTGAATTTATGTGAACATATTGATTCTTTCAATCTAGTTAACCCTTGAATCCATTGGTAAATTCCAATCCAAAGAAAACTTCTTTTTTTCCAAATTGCATACCCCTTTTGACTTCGAAATGGTGTTGATGGAATGATGATGTGATGAAATTCAAAATCAAGAATCTTTGGTCTTGTAAAACGTAAACTTGTGAACTTTTGCATTCAAATGGTATATTCTTCAATACAACTCTCCTTCAATTTAGGACTTGAAATTCCATTCTTCTCTTGCCCTTATTTCCATGTAGTTCATAGTGTGAAAAATTTCATGGTGTCATGTACCGTATGAATAAATCGTCTTACTGTGGTACTTTAAACAAAATTAATCCATTGAATACTTTGAAACAAACTTGAGTTTGTGACATGAATCCTCGTTAATCCAATTCTTTAATCCACATCAAAATTGCATAACAATCCATAAGTACTATCAATGGCCTTAATCACATCATCATCTTTACATCATGGCTCCATACCCTTGCTACTCAATTCACGAGGTACCTTAACTTGACAACATATCTCTTCACTTGGGGTTCTTTACTAGAATAAATCCTTGAGGAATATTGTAAAAGATATTCGATGAACCTCAATTATCCACCATAACTATGTTGAGATGCAAACCCAATTTTCTGAGAAATATAGAGACATAAACTCTAATACAAGACTTTGATGAATTTTGGATAAGAACATCTCTATTTTCTTGATAGGAGAAAGATCTTCAATTAACCATGAACCAGAACCTTAATCTCACACTTCCTTGTTTGACAAAAAATCAGAAGAATCAGAAAAATTAGGTTGTATTTGATGTGGAAGTCTCAATCCACTGTGAACCCTAGTTTCTGACAATCTTGAGAGGCCTTGGAATGAATGATGACGTGAGACTTAAGATTATAATCATGATGACAATAGTTCAATTTTGTGTTGTCTTCGAGTGCCATATCCTTCTCTCTAAATGAGAATTACCCGAATCAGGAGAAACCTTGATCCCATAACTATAAAACCAATGATATGCATGAGTGTGTATGATAAAACATAAGCAAAAAAAGTTAAAGTGAAGAAGGCAAATTTTATGGTGCAACAACTTCTAGCTACAGGCGCAAATACCTCAAAGTAATCTAACCCATATTTATGTAGAAATCCTCTAGATACTAACCTTATTTTGTGTCTACCAATTGATCCATATGGATTTAGCTTTATCTTGAAGACACATCTCACACTGACGAATTTCTTATTCTTTGGAAGCTTAGTCAACTACTAAGTCCTATTTCTTTTTATATCCTTAATTTCTTCTTTCATGGCCTCCAGCCACACTTTCTTCTTGAGAGCTTCTTTAATACTAATTGGTTAAGAGTCTACTAACATGGCACACTGAATGACTTCTCCTTCAGAGTTTATCTGAGTACTTTGCAACATTTCAAACTTTGCGAATCTTCTTGGTATTTGTCTTATTCTTTATGGCCTTTGAAATGGTTGAGAGTATTCTTTAGATAATGGAACAATATCAAATGTTAGACTACCTTCAGAGGTTGGACCACCTTCAGAAGGCCCACTTCAGAGGCATGATTATAACTAGAGTCTAGATCATCATCAAAATCTGGTTCAGAATCAAATTCACATTCAAAGTTAGACTCACCTTTAGAGTATCCTCCAGATTCAGAGTCACCTTCAGAGTTTGACCCATCTTCAGAAGCAGAATCCCCTTCAGAGGTTGATTCTCCTTCAGAAGTTATCTTAGGTGTCAACATTGTACCATAGTTGGATTGAGACTTGCTCCAATCCAACACTTATGCTTCCCTCATAATGACATCTCTGTTAACTCCAACTTTATTAGTTAATGGACAATAAAGCTATAAGCACTTCTACTGTGGTACCTAATTATCAATATTACTATGCTTCTATCATCCAGCCACTTTCTAGTAGCACCTGGAAAATGTTTGTAACAAACATAAACAAATACTATGAAATGACCTACACTTTAATTATCTCCAGTCCCTTTTTCAAAAGGAAGAGTTTACTTCAGCTTCTTCATTGGACATTTGTTAAGCACACACGCTACAGTGGCAGCAACTTCTCCCCACAAGGTGTGAGGAGGATTCTTTTCTTTCAACATTATCCTTGGTATATCAATCAAAGTTCTATTTCTTATTTCATCAATACCATTGTGCTAAGTTGTGTATGGAGTAGTAAAATCATGCCCAATTCCATTCTCCTCACATAACTTCCTGAACTTTGTAGAGTTGTACTCACCTCTACCGTTAGTTCTGAAAACTTTCAGCTTCTGATCACTCGGTTTTTTAGCCTTCACCTTGAACTTCTGAAACACAATAAACACTTCATGCTTAAACTTGATGAATGTTATCCATGTCATCCTTATGAACTCATCCATAAAAGACACAAAAAAACTTGTTTCCTCCAAGTGAAGGTACTTCAAATGGTCCACATACATCATAATGCACTACTCCCAAAAATGCTCTTGGAGCCACTTCTGATGTAAATGGCAATTTGGGTTGCTCTCCTTTCAAGCATATCTCACATGACTTCCCAGGCTTCACAGTCTTAGGAATTCCATGTACTAGCTTCTTAGAGTTCATATTCCCTAGGCTTATGAAGTTCGGATGCTGTGATATGGTGGGAGAACTGACTTGAAGGTTTTGCGTTTTATCGCAAATGTTGCGGTTAGCAAGAGTCGCCATCGACTTTTATTTTATCCAAAAGGAAAGGTGAAAAAGCACATGAAAGACCTTTGAGATTATTTCTTGAGTTCAGGGGGTAGATTATGAAAATGGAAGGTATTAACACCCTTTTCATCCATGGTTTTCTATGGGCTCTTAGTTACTTGCTAGATCACTTACTTTTGTTTGAAATTGTGCTTTGTGTGGTTTTTGAAAGTATTTTGAAAATAGGCCATTGTTTAGGCAATCTTTGTAATGATTCTTGTTTGTAAGAATGTATACAAAGATGTTTGATCTTTTGAAAATATTTTCAATTTCGTAAGATGTTTGAAAGTGTGGGTGATTGTTTTTGAAAATAGCAAGGACGTTTGTTTGAAATTGAGCAAGTAATTTGGAGTATTCTACCTACTCAAAAGTCTTTCTTGTTTATTTTCTTTTCCTTTGACATTGTTATCTTACCATTGATTTGGTAGGCAACCCTATCTTTGGATATAAACGGGACGAGCGTGGGTCATCGTATAACCATGATTAATAATGTTGCAAGGTATCTTAGCATTCTCTTTTAGGGACTAAGATCATTTGAAAGGCAACTTAGATAGCGTCATTGAGGGACTATGATCTTGTATTTGCTTGTTTTTGCTAAGATACGTTACATGCGTAATATGGTCATTTTGTATAAGGCAACCAAGTGGAATAACCCTACGGGTGCTTGTGTGTAAGTGTATCATTTTCATGCTTGTTTTTGTCTTGAATTAGGGTTTTCTAAGTATTGGTTTTAGTCTTTCCATACAAACCCTAATTACTAGCATGTTATGTATAAAAGCGATAAAATTGCAGAATTTAAAGTTACTACGCCATTACAACATTTGTGGGAGGGGGTGTACAAATTGAATCGGGATTGTAAGAATGTAAACCTAGTTAGTCTATTACATCCATATTGAATATCAATTGTAAAAAGATTTGAATAAATACAAAGTATAAAATGAATAAATG